CTTTAATCATATCATTATTAAATTGAATTTTTTCTCATTTTTGGAACACCTGTGTCCTTGATTCTGTCTGGTCCCTCACAGTTGCTCTGGAGAAAAGCGACTTTAGTTCCTATAAATGAATATACCATGCTATAATCCTTTAACAGGTTATGTTAGCTTGTTTCCCTAAATGAATATACCATGCTATAATCCTTTACCAGGTTATCTTAGCTTGTTTCCCTAAACGAATATAAGATGCTATAATCCTTTAACAGGTTATGTTAGCTTGTTTCCCCTCGGATAAATTAACTTTAGCCTCTATAAATGAATATAGGATGCTATAATCCTTTACCAGGTTATGTTATATATATATTTCCCTCACCCTTAAGATGCTATAATCCTTTAACAGGTTATATTAGCTTGTTTCCCCTCGGATAAATTAACTTTAGCCTCTATAAATGAGTATACCATGCTATAATGATTTAACAGGTTATGTTAGCTTGTTTCCATAAATGAATATAGGATGCTATAATCCTTTAACAGGTTATGAATATAGGATGCAATAATCCTTTAACAGGTTATGTTAGCTTGTTTCCCTAAATGAATATAGGATGCTATAATCCTTTAACAGGTTATGTTAGCTTGTTTCCCTAAATGAATTTACCATGCTATAATCCTTTAACAGGTTATATTATATATATATTTCCCTCACCCTTAAGATGCTATAATCCTTTAACAGGTTATATTATATATATATTTCCCTCACCCTTAAGATGCTATAATCCTTTAACAGGTTATGTTATATATATATTTCCCTCACCCTTAAGATGCTATAATCCTTTACCAGGTTATATTATATATATATTTCCCTCACCCTTAAGATGCTATAATCCTTTACCAGGTTATATTATATATATATTTCCCTCACCCGTAAGATGCTATAATCCTTTAACAGGTTATATTATATATATTTCCCTCACCCGTAAGATGCTATAATCCTCCTGAGACCCCAGATTTTAATTGGTGTGCATTTTTGCTTTTTTAAAGATATATGGGATTAGTACAACCTACTAAGTTTAATAACTAAAATTTGTCATGGTACAGGTAGTTGTGCTTCGTATAGGCTCAGTGGGTTTATCTTTATATTTAAAATGCTAGTTTATGTATCTAATAAATGTTATTGGAATTTTGTTCTGACAGTCCAAATTACTTATTAACAATCTTTTAATTACGCAATAAGAACATTATTGGTTGAAAATGTATAGCACCCATTTTACTTTAGAGTGTCTGATAGCGTCTGCTATGAGGCCAAGAGGTCAAAGTTGAAAGAAAAAAGAAGTATCATGGTAAAGAGAGGCAAAAATGCAACGTCCTCTTATGAGGACACAGGCTCTCAGGAGACTAACAGGTTATATTATATTATATATATTTCCCTCACCCTTAAAATGCTATAATCCTTTAACAGGTTATATTATATATATATTTCCCTCACTCTTAAGATGCTATAATCCTTTACCAGGTTATATTATATATATATTTCCCTCACCCTTAATATCCCCTCTCCCCCCTCATCGCTGTCCTCCTCTATCAGGTCTCCAGAGATGGTTCTGTGCAGCTCAGCAGGAGCCTCCTCCACGATGTTCCTCAGCCCCGCCTGAAACGCATAAAACACGGGATAAAACACGGAATAAAACTGTATAAAACTGTATAAAACACAGGATAAAACACAGGATAAAACACAGGA